CCACCGGTAGCAGTGTTAATTCCCGATTGAAATTGATTTGACCCGGTACTAGGATCAGGCTGACTAGTTGGACTTGTCCCCTCAGCCGCAACTTTCATTTGATACTATTTAGCTTTATCTTGAGGATGTATCGTTATGTGTATCCTCAAACTTCCCGTCCCCCCCCCCCCCCTCGTGTAACATAGTTAAAAGCTAAGTATTTGCCACAATTTTTACATTTAGCTTTATTTTTTTCTCTTATTTGAATAAAAAATGGCCAAAAAAGAAACGTTTCGGCCCGTTTAGAAGGTTGTCTAGAAAAAGTAGGGGTAGTAACAGGGGGTCAACCAGGGCATCATTTGGATTAGTTGGGTTAACTTCAGCAATAGGACTAATGGGTGTATCATCATCCGGTTGCGTTTCATCTAAATCTATTTCCTGCTCATCTTCTTCATCAATAGTTGGATTACCATAAAGAGAATTCATATGTTCATGATCTAAGTGTTCACCACCTCCAACATTTTGCACATATTGACTCTCAGTAAATTATAATAAAGTATTATCACTATCAAGAATAGGAGCAGGTGGAGGGCGGGACTGGGGTTTGGATAGGGGAGCACGGTGAATTAGAGAAAGAATAGATTGGCCACTAGATTCCCCACTCTTGGATTTTCCCTTATTTTTACTAAATATTTTTTTAAAGAATAGGCCATCTTAATTATAATTATACAAAGTAAATAAAACAAACAAAACTATAATATTAAAACTAAAGAGTTGGAACGAGTTTACCGAATTGACGAACAACTTGTTAAAAATTAATTATCGTTGAAGACTTGAATACTTCAATTCACCAGCTTCACAATTTTTCACACAAATTGCAACAATAAAGCAACCAATTTTAGAAGAAAATTAGAGAGAGATTGATGATTTTGTGAGAAAAATGAAAGAATGAGGGGGTATTTATAGTTGAAAATATAGAAAAAGTATAATTATACAAAGTTTGGGGTTAAAATAAAGTTGGGGGGGAAGGGGGGGGGTTAAATGGCTATTTTACAAAGCCCAAACGGCTATTTTTGCAGGCCAAACGGCCATATTTTAAATAACCCAACGGTCAGATTTTTTTGTGGATTTTTTTTAAAATGTAGCCGTTGGAACCGTTTGAGACCGTTTGGGACTGGTTAAACCGGCCCACTTAGGACCCGGTCCCGGGCCCAAACGGTCCGGTCCTAACGGTTCCTATGCCTTAACAGGCCCACATAGCAGGGCCATCCCCTGGTCCCAGGCTTAAATGGTTAGGCCCGTTTAGGCCCACTACCCTAATGGGCTCGCGGGCCTGGGCCGGTCCCGGGCCTAACCGGCCCACTTGCCAGCCTTACTCTCAGCGTATGGAACGTACCGACTGCCAGCTTGATGGTTGGGGTTCCCGACGATAAGTCGGGTAACGCCGCGGTACCAGGGCATATATTCATGCTCAGTATCCTGCCGACTCTGTGAAAGGGGAGGGGCGGAATCAGGTCAGCTCGCTGGTCCCATGTAAATATCTAATCCTGTAGCCATGCCAAAAATACGTCGTCCACCCTGGTCTGATCATCCCGCTGGTAATGTGTGGTCTCCCAAATGGGCAGTGCCGGTACGAGCTGCGGCCTGCAAAACTGGCGAAGTACCCGCTCGGTGGCATGATGCTCCACAATATCAAGGCAGAACAACGGGATGGAAGCGCCGCACATAAGTCGGCCGGCCGAGCAATAATCGGGCAAGCCAGCTATCATCGCGTCGTTGTATGGCGTCCAGATGAACTATGAAGGAAGAACAGAAAATGTCAATATATGCAACTTGTGTTTGAAGCAATGACAACTAAACTTAGATATACATTTACTTGTGCGCCATCCGGCAAATCCAATATATCTCTGCACAAGGAGAGATTATGCCGAGCCTCGTTCTCGCGCGTATGTCCCCGTCGGAGTACCCACCTCCTAGCTAGAGGGAGCAACTCTGGTGGTACAACCGGAACTAATGGTGGTAGAGGTGGCTGGAACTACAGAAACCGCTCCCAGGCCCAAACCTAACATAAAAACTTGACGTCAAATTTAAGATATATTTTTACTAGGTATGTTAAAGTGAATAGAGTATTCGAATATGTTGTCACCTGTAGTAGCGGCAAGAATCCAGCAACCTCACACTGGGTGCCCATGCTCGCCCGGCACATGCATCTCTACAAGTAGGTGAGAACAGCAGAGCTCCAGTTGTATTGGGGTAAATCATCTAGCCACTCAAGATGATGAAGAAATCTCAAGCTGACTAGGTTCCCCGAAGTGTTCGAGAACAAGACCCCTCCAAACAATAGCAGTAGCAGCAACCTCGTATAACGGTCAACATAATAATACGGTGTATCATCATCGATCTTAGGATGCAATGCCTCCAACCACAGTCGAATAGTCGGCAACGAAAAATGACTGGCCCATGCAGTACAGTCTCATCCTCTGGACGGAAAGCAGTGAGCCACTGCAGCGTGTCCAGGTACTGCACACGTGTCATCTCTCTCATGCCAGGCGGCAGTGAAATGGCCAGTCCATCAACGGCAGCCCATACAAAACCTCCACGTCCTATAGTATGACGGTGGCCTCGCCAATAGGCAGGTGGAAAGTGTGCGTCTCCGGCTTCCACCGCTCTATCAGGGCCGTGATCAAAGACCAATCGAGCAGCAGCCGCCTGATCTCAATCATCCTGTAGAAACCAGTGTCATGCATGCGCGCGACTACACGGGCATGGAGAACTCTGTCATGCAGAAAGTCCCACATGTCGTCCACTCTCCTGGTGCGGAGAGTCTGGGTCAGTAACTCACCCTCCCATATGTGGGTTGACCTATGGTCGCCCTGTAACGAGAGTAGCTCATCGCTAAAAGGTCCGGGAGTCGTCTACTGTAAATTAAACAACATTAATTACATGCTAGTTTTATAATTTTATATGTTTGTTTTCGGATTAAATAATTAAAATTTTATAATTAAATATTGACATATGGGTTTCCAGGCTCCATATTTGGAGCCCGGTAGCACCTATTCTTCGATGTGTTAGTTTATTATAATTTTATATGTTTGTTTGTGAATTAAATAATTAATTTCTTAATTAAATATTTACATATGGGTTCCAGGCTCGATATTTGCGGCCCAGTAGCACCAATTCTTCGATGTGTTAGTTTTATTATAATTTTATATGTTATTTTGTAAATTAAATAATTAATTTTTATAATTAAATATTCACATATGGGTTCCAGGCTCGATATTTGCGGCCCAGTAGCACCAATTCTTCGATGTGTTAGTTTTACTATGATTTTATATGTTAGTTTGTAAATTAAATAATTAATTTTTATACTTAAATATTCACATATGGGTTCCAGGCTCCATATTTGGAGCCCAGTAGCACCATTTTATCATGAATTCTTGTGTTAGTTTTATTATAATTTTATATGTTAGTTTGTAAATTAAATAATTAATTTTTATACTTAAATATTCACATATGGGTTCCAGGCTCCATATTTGGAGCCCAGTAGCACCATTTTATCATGAATTCTTGTGTTAGTTTTATTATAATTTTATATGTTAGTTTGTAAATTAAATAATTAATTTTTATAATTAAATATTCACATATGAGTTTCAGGCTCGATATTTGCGGCCCAGTAGCACCAATTTATCCTGAATTCTTCTATTTTTTAGTTTTTATATTTTATGTGTTAGTTTTATAATTTTATATGTTTGTTTGTAAATTAAATAATTAATTTTTAAAATAATTAAAACTATATACATATTTAATTGTTAAATATTCATATATGTTCCAGGCTCGATATTTGCGGCCCAGTAGCACCAAATATATGTTGGCTATAATTGGACGGAGTTTGTGTTTGATCTATCAGTTATTTTGACGTATTTTTAGGTATAAGAGATACTTAAACTACAGGGAAACTACGCTAGAAGGCACTACATTTTACTACGCTAAAAGGCACTACATTATACTACGGTAAAAGGCACTACATTATACTACGCTAATAGGCATTACATTTTACTACCCTAAAAGGCATTCTGATTTACTAGTCTTTATTTAAACCAGATAAAACACAACAAATATATTGTAATCACAAAAATACATATAAAACAGTAATAGTAATTTACTAACATTTTTATTAACAAATTCACAATTTTTACATTTTCTTTACAACATTAATATCTTAGTCCGGATAAAAATAACATACCATTTTAATCGCAAAAAAAAACACAAAACAACATACAACACATTCAAAACAACTAATATGCACTATTTATCCGAGTTTGGACATAAACTAAATCGGAATACCTCGATTTATGTTTTCCGGAAAGTTGAAGATTTGAAAATTTGACTCCGAAATAAGCAACCCACAACAATAGAAGGCTTGGCTAGGATGTGGGACCAACAATATCTATTTTTTACGGGACGGATGGGGTCCACTCGAGCTTTTTTTGTTGTTAATGGAGGGGGGGGGGGGGGAGGGGGACTGTTTTTTTTTAAAAAAAGGAAGGGGAAGACTGAGCAGAACGTGGGGGAAAGGGAAGAGATTCTGATATTTATATATATAAAATGCGGTTCATTACCACGCTTTATGTAAAATACTGTAATGAGCCGTATTTTATATACCAGTCTTTTCAGCTCCCTTTAAATCGCGGTTTATTACCGCGTTCTATATAAAACGTGGTTAATAATCGCGTTTTACCTTAACGGTCCAAACGGCTGTTAAGGTAAAACGTGATTACTAACCGCGTTTTATATAAAAATATAATTTTTTTTTTATATTTAAAAATATATTTTGAGTCAAAAAGAACCACATTTAGGTTCCGGAAGGAGGGGCATGACCACATTTGGCCCCTGTCCCCAGTTGAGCAATGAGATAACATTAGCACCTCCATTGGGCCCACACCTCAAGAAATTCATGAGATCAATTGTCACTCCCTCCAAAACAATCACATGCTCTGCCGACCATCTTAACTTCCCCTGTTCCTCCTCTTCATCCTATGAGATGTAACGTTTTCTCTACTCATTTATTATTTCACCGAAAAGTACAATCCTAGACACAGATTTCAGGAAACAAAAGTAAAAGCTGTTCCCTCTATTTATCTTCTTTACCCTATCTTTTTATTTTCCTTTTCTCTGCAAAATTTCCAGATAGTGCAGTGGCATGCTCAAGGGTTTTTGTTCCATGGTAAGTATACATTTTTGGACATGCAAAAAAGCCCTACCTTTTCTGAGTTTCTCTTTACATGTCTGTAAAAGGTTCCAACTTTTCACCTGTTTTTGTTACTACTACATTTTTAGCCTGAATTGTTCAGCTGCATATATAATGATGCGTAATTCTGTTTGGGGGCTGAGGAAATTGGTCAAATTTTTACTGATTTGGTCTCTGGCTCTCTTTGGTCCAAGTCGCAAGTTTGATGTTTTGGGTCTCTGGTTTTTGTTAGAGGTTTTTTTCCTTTTTGGAAAAAATTTCCAACGTTTATGTAAAGCAATTTTAATTTTTTCTAGAAAACTTTTCTAAAGCTAAATTTGGCAATATTTCCTAGGGCAATGTTGCTTCGGAAAGAATATATTATCGTGTTTTTTTGTTATATCTTCACGATTTTGTCAAAATTACTGTTTCGAGCAAAGATTTTCTTTCTGTTACAGCACCTACTTTATGTGCCTGGAATTAGCTCGGAAAATTTCATTAATTAATAGTAATAGTAATATAATGAGCATTTTACTTTCGCCTATCATTCTTTGTATTGGTAAATTTTGAGGATAAATGAGAAGATTCTCTGATACTTGGAATCTAAGTAGACTCCTACTTTTGGTAGGACAATTATACCATACGCGTAATTACTGTATATAGTGACTTTCTAACTTACCTACTAGGTTTTGCATACGTATAATACATGTATTCTAATACGGTAACATAATAAACCTACGCTGTATATAGCACTACTTTTTTACTTTTCCTTAATTTGAACTTAGCAGTCCTAGGTTTCCCTCTACTAAACCAGTAACAGAGATAGTCAAGGAAAAGGTGAGATATATACATGCATGGGTTATGTGTATGAATGATGTGCTTGAGTCCTTGTTCAATTGAGCCATTGTATAGTACAAGGTCATCAAAATTAATTTTTTATCTATATAATAATAAATGTTGAATCTCCTCTGTCTTGGTGTATTTATTTGTTTATATTTTGAATTCCCTTAGAAAAATCTTGGCTCTGTTAACGCGTTTTCCATTTGCTTTGACCTATTCTTGTTTACAGTATTGGTGTGGGTATGAGTATCTTTTGTCATGGTATATAGTTCTAATTCTTCTTGGGTATATCTCAGAATATTAATATGGTTGAACAAAATTGTTGGGATGACATTCCCATGGGGCCTATCGTCGATGAAGACTTTGAAAGCTTACTCAATAGTTTGGACTTCCCCTTGGAAAGTTTGGAAGACGACGGCGGCCTCGGTGGAGATTGGGATCCTAGCCTGTACCAATTACTCGGGCCAATCCCTGCGGATGCACTTATGGCGTTACCTCCAGTGTCCCGTGGCGATAATGCCAATGGCTGTTTGAATGCAGCTGTGAGTTTTAACTTGGACAGCATATATGCCCTTTTTTTATTAATTAGTTATTAATTCTTTCTTTGGTTTTCAAATATGTGTTTTGCTATACACTTTGCTATAGGGAAGCATCCCTTTCTCTAATAGAACAATTTGATTTGATTTTTGCTAAGTAAGAAGGGAGAGTTGCTTTACCTGTCCCTATGTCCTTTACCTTAATGGCTCCCTCCCAGCCTCCTCAATGTTCCAATTTTTGATACAAATGGAGGTAATGGCATTCTTGCTTGGAAATCCAACGCTAAACAACAGCCATGCAATCTTGATATTATGTCCTTACTTGGTAGCGAAATATAAAGAATAAATCAGTCTTATCGTAGTTGTAATGACACTAAATTTGTTTCATTTTCATAAATTGTAGTGCTTTAGCGTTATAGGCGGAAAAGGGACTTGAAATTGTTTCCCACACATAGAGGTTTTAAATGTTCAGTTTAATATCTTGCTGAATGATGCTCTATATAACATTCTATAATAGTCTTCCCTGCTTTTTTACATGATGTAGCTTGGCGAGTCTTGCGCATTGACCTGCTGGTGACTAATTCTCTTATCTTCATGCTTAAGTGTCTCGCTGGGTCTGAAGTAATGGAATTAATCTCAATCCCCGAGCTAAATGATACGAAGCTCTTCTTTAACCTCTTAGTATTATGCAGTTGTTCAAATTCAAATTTGTTCTCCTCTTTGTTGAAATGCTTATATAGACATGCAAACCATCACAGCGTGTTCAAAACTTATTAGTGACCTGCGGCACATTCGCTTGGCATGCTTTTTGTTGCCTCGAATTTTAAGGCTAATCTGAGAAAGAATGGAAAACTGAACTCCCAAACTTCCTTAGGTCTTCTGTTTCTCGTTTTCTCTTTGTTGAACTCTTGTAGTTAACTCTTAGAGAAGTAGCATTTCTAGGCAAAAATAGCTTTTGATTTATGTAGAAGAAATTTCTAACTCGGTGTTATCCTATCAGAATGAATTTCCTGAGGCCCAAGGAACTGTTCTATTCCAGACACAAAGCCCAATTTCTGTTCTTGAACACAACAGCTCCTGCTCTGGTGGAAAGAGCACCTCCTCCAATTTTGGCACTAAAGGCCGTCGCTCTAAGCGTGCACGATCATCAACTTTGAATCCGTGGATTTTGATGGCTCCGACATCTTGTACAGCTTTTGCAGCCAAGAAGAATTCTGATGCCAAAAAGGGAAAGGAAAAGAAGAGGAGAAAATTGTCACAGCAATCGAGTGTCATGGATTCTAGTTTATTTAAAAAGTGCACACATTGTGAAGTAACAAGGACACCACAATGGAGGGAGGGACCATTGGGTCCAAAGACACTATGCAATGCCTGTGGAGTTCGTTATCGTTCTGGCCGACTACTCCCAGAGTATCGGCCTGCTGCTAGTCCCACATTTGTTCCATCTTTGCATTCAAACTCTCACAGGAAAGTCATAGAAATGAGAAGAAATGCAGTTGAGGAGTCTCAAGGTGATGTACTGGAAACGAAGAGAAGCTTTTCCAATGTGACTGAACCAAAAATTTGTTCCTCTGAATATCTATTTGTTTGATACATGCATATTGAAGAGATGGCTATCCTTTTAGTTAGATGCTTAATTTACTTCATTGTTTTATTCTGCACTGGTAGGTTTTGTGGTATGGTGAGTATTCAGGTTAAAAGTTGGTGTACAGAAATGGGATGCAGGAGTTGTAGGTTAACATAATTGGTAAAGCCCGATTGAAGGCTGATGGTGCAGTTCTCTGATGTAAAAACTACAAGTAGATGAATAGATGCTTAGGTACTTCACCTTTATATTTTCTTTTGGTAGAGGTCTCCATGGAACATGGTCCGTGGACCCCAACTTGTTTTTCGAGGGGGGATTTGCATCTATGCCCGCTTTTTAGGTCACGTTTTAACTTGTGTCCGCTTTGCAAAAAAAATTGCAAGCGTACTCATTTTTTCGCGTAACTTCAACATATGGGGCTAAAGTAGCAAAGACAATCACGCAAAACTTCAGCATTCTAGTAGACGGGCCTGAAGTAGCAAAGGCAATACGCTGAAGTTTTTTTGTCCTGGATAAGATGCTGATGTTATTTAGTTTATTTGTAAAAACTTCAGCACTAAAATAGCTGGAGTTTTTTTGTCCTGGATTCATTAGTTTTGTCATAAAAACTTTTTCAAAAACTTCAGCAGAAGATGCTGAAGTTATTTAGTTCATTTGTAAAAACTTCAGCAATAAAATAGCTGAAGTTTTTTTGTCCTGAATAACTTCAGCAGAAGATGTTGAAGTTATTTAGTTCATTTGTAAAAACTTCAGCACTATATAAGCTGAAGTTTTTGAAAAAGCTTTCTAACATACTAGATAAATAATTACCTTATTCTTTCATAGTGTATTACTACTATAAAATAATCAGATGCCAACAATATCTAAATCATAAATTTTGGAAACAATAAACATGAAAGAACAAAATTACGTGGAAATATTCACAAATTATTGTCTACTAACTTACGTAATTATTTATAATTTGTTTTTAAATAATTTGATAAACATACTTATGGAAATCATCCCATGAACTGAAGTTTCATAGCAGAAGAAGAAAGGGGGCTATAGGGCGCCCCGTGCAATTTTTACTTTTTGGAGCGGTTTCTTTACACTTAATAGCTACAAGGTAAGGGACTGATTATCTAGAGCCCTAAAGAATTTGAGGACCAATTGTTAATTTGATCTAACATGCTGGGAATGTTACTCTCAATCTCACACTATAATAATCTATCTATATCTATATCTATCTATACTATGAGCCCGTTTGGCTTAGCCGATTTAGAGTAGCTGATAAGCATTAGGTGCTAAAAAGCACTTTTAAGTGCTAAAGCTGATTTAAAAAAATAAGCAGTTACGTGTTTGGATAAAAGTACTGAAATTAATAATAAGCAGCTGAAGAACTGGGTATAAGAAGAGTTTTGTTCTAAAAAGAAGTATTTTAGGGATAGAATAGTAAATATTTGGTCAAACCTAAAGTGCTTATAAGCTGAAATTTGATAAGTTGGGGGAGATCAACTTATGGCTTTTGACTTATTTTTGGCTTATAAGCACTTAACTTATAAGCACTTTTAATTTTACCAAACGCGTAGATAAGCCAAAAAGTGCTTATAAGCCAGTTTGACCAGCTTATAAGCTTAGCCAAACACCCTCTATATTAAAAGCACGAAGGCCCTTGGCGAAATATCGTTCGCCTTTTTTACCCTTTAAAAATGAATTTCACATTGGATAAAGTTGTAATTGTATTTTAATTATTAAAATCAACTAAATTGTTGTGTATTAAATCATTCCTTATTTGAACTATGCAAAAATTCCTAATATTTAGGAATTTAAAATTAATTAAGATTTTACTTCTATAAACTTTTTCCTTATTAAAATTATATGATTGTCACGATTCTAAGTTTTAAATTTATGAGGAACAATAATGAAAGCTTTTCTTCAAAACATTTGTGTTAGAATTAAACACTTGAGAATTGTGAAGTATATTTTAAAAATATCTTGTATTATTTTTTTTTTTAATATTTAGATATTAGCTTTTAATCAACTTTAAGAAATGTTATCCATCAAGTATAAAATTAATTTTGGAAAGAATTACTCCAGCAAATATGAAACCAATTGTGATAGTTTTATTAACATTAGTGTACTATTATATATTATAATCTATATAAACTTTATTTTAGATGTATTAAATTATATTTTATAACTTTTTGTAGCACGGGCAATTATTTTAGGCATATAATTTTAATATGGTCTAATTGTCACTTTTTATAGGTATCACGTACCACTTGTCACATTTTGCGAGCAAATAATTAAAAAATTAAAAAGGCTTGAATATAATCGATGAGCATGTCTAAAGAATATTTTCAATTCTAAGCCACTAAATTTTATTAAAATCTAAAATTTAAGAAGCCTAGCCGGTGAAGAAAAGAAAAGGAAATAATATTCATTAAACATGCCTTAAACAATTAGAAGCAATATAATATAGTTGCTAAAAAATTTTCTCTCTCTTATCTTTTCTCTCGGCGCAAGTTAACGTGGATAGCTAACCTGCACCGGAAGCCATGGGAGGGAGGGGAAGACCTAAACGAAATCAACAGAAAAATGCAACGGAGGAACAGCGTTCGTCAGCAACCAGAAATGCAGTGTTAGAGTTGTTTGTATCTCCAAAAGGGATACGAATAGAAGAACCAGAGGAAAGATCCAAATCAAGGAACATGCAAGCTGGGAAAACCAAAGAGGAAGGAGATTTAGCTCGAACTAAAGGGAAAATGAAGGAAGGGCTGTGTACTCCAGCTCCAATGGCAGTTATAGCTAGAGGAGATGAGGTGGGAAGTAAGGAACAGACAACGAAGAAGCATACTGATGGAACAGTACCATGCAACTATGGTACTGTAGAGAAAGCTAAAGAAGATGGCAAACAGGATGAAAATAGGGCTAAAACTTGGGCAAATGTGGTGGGTGGAAACAAATTGGTTATGAAGGGTATGAACCTTCAGTATATTGCCCCAATTGTGCAGAATGGTGAGAAAATTGTGAAGATTGAAGCTGAGGATATAGAGCAGGAGACTGAGAAATGGAAGAATGCTATTGTGATATATGTGATAGGGGATTCCCCAACTATGGAGCGATGGACAGATTTGTGAATTCAATGGGTAAGTATTCTAAGAAACCACAGATCTACCATCATAATGAAGATTACTTCATTATACGATTCTATAGTGTAGAGGAAAGGGACCAAGTCTTGTATTCTGGGTCACATACGATTAATAATAGGCCAATTATCATGAAGGCATGGTCGGAGGATTTCAATCTCCACGATGAAGTGTTAAAGACAATCCCATTATGGGTTAAGTTACCTAACCTACCCATTAACTGGTGGAGCATGACTGCTTTAAGTAAGATAGGTAGTGCCCTTGGCAATCCTATTTATGCTGATGAGTGTACAACTGGAGCAGTTCGAGTTTCATATGCTAGGCTACTTGTAGAGATGGACATCACCAAGCCCCTTCCAAGGCAGGTGAAGCTACATGACCCAAAGGGGAAGGAACTAGCCCAGGAAGTGGAGTATGATTGGGAGCCAAAGTATTGCAGTAAATGTTTGAAAATAGGACATGACTGTGATGAAAATAGAAAGCCAATGCAACAACAAAGAAATGTGCAGCAGAAGAAGGCAACCAAGGGTAAAATGATGTGGGTCAGAACTGAAAAAGAAGGAGGTAATATGGCAAAGGAAAATGAGCAGACACAAGAGAATTCAGATAATAAGAGGGTTGAACTGGAATAAAGAACTGATGAATTACTAAGCAAGGAAGCAGGGTGGATCACTGTGGTTGGCAAATCAGCAGCTAGAGCAACTAAAACTAAACAAAATGAAGACCATAGTGTTGACAAGACTAATGGTTTTCAGAGCTTGATGGATAGCCAAAGAAATGAAGAGGCAAGTACCAGCCAATCTAGCAGCCAAGGAGACCAGGGGTATTTCCACCATCCTTATTTTATTCCAGTATAAGTGTCATTACTTGGAATGTTAGAGGATTAAATAAAGTTACAAGCAGAAAGAAGTAAAGGAGTTCATTAGAGTTAATAATAAAGCTGTTATAGCATTAGTAGAACATAGGGTCAAAGAAATGAAGGCCACAGAAATAATCAAAAAAATAGCTCCAGGTTGGGAATGGATTTCAAATGCAAGAACAGGGCAGAAAGGAAGAATATGTATATTGTGGGACCCTAGAATCTACATTTTTGATCCTAGTTAAATAGATGAACAGATTATTCATGGGCAGATTAGAGTGAAATCACAACCAGTCAGCTTTGGACTCACAGCAGTATATGGACTGCATACTATCAATGACAGGAAAGCAATGTGGCAAAAGTTGAGACAGATCAATAGCATTCAACAAGGTCCTTGGCTTGCAATGGGGGACTACAATGCTGTACTACAGGTAACAGATAGACAACATGGGACTGAAGTGCAGGAAATAGAAGTAAAAGACTTTAAGGAATACATGATGGACACAGGAATGAATGAATTGCAGTATGTGGGAAGGGATTATACATGGACCAACCATCACACATATAGCAAGATAGATAGGGGACTGATGAATGCAGAATGGATGATGACCATGCCTAGCTTGAGAATACAGGTGTTAGAGCCACTAATATCAGATCACTCCCCTTTGAAGTTGATGATTACACAGATGCAGATAAAGAAAAGCAGGCCTTTTAGATTTCTAAATTGCATTGCAGACCATCCACTCTTTATCCAACATATTGAAATGGCTTGGAAGGAAGGAAAGGAAGTTGGAAAGCTGCAAACAGTTTGGCAGAAACTAAAGAAGACTAAGGAACTGATCAAGGAGATAAACACAAAACATTACAAAGGAATTGAAGACATAATCAAGGAGACAAGAGATGAGCTACAAATAGTACAGGAGGAAATGAGCAACAAAATGCTAGATACTGAACTAATTGGAAAGGAAAAAGTGCTGAAACAAAAATTAGAAAAGTAGATGATGATAGAGGAAAGTGTATATAAGCAAAAATCAAGGGTGCAGTGGCTGAAGCTGGAAGACTCCAACTCAAGGTACTTCTTTGCACAAATGAAACACAGGAACAGTACTAATGGAATCCAGATGTTAACTGATGATATGGGAAGGCAACTAGTACTTGATGATGAAATAGAGGCAGAAATTCTTAGCTACTACAGGAGACTCCT